TGAGATAATGAGTGCTAGACAAAGGTGATGAAGCTCTGATCTGGATAGTGGAAGTTGGATTGGTGAAGAGAAGATTAATATAATTTGTTAAAAAGAAGAAAACTTTATAGACTTGGTGATTCAGTATACATTTATTGACCATTTACCTTTTGTAAGCATGTATGCAAGGTGCTGTGGGTGAATCTAAAGTAAGTAAGGATAATAAGGATAAGTCACAGGTGACTAGGTGATGTAAAATCTATATGACCTGGAAAATAGTGGTGCTGCCACATAATTGGATGGTAGGATCGAATACTAGTTTTTGAAAGAGAGTAATTTTAACTTGTTTAATTGAAAATGATGGTATTAAAAATGTTTGGTAAGACATTGTCACAAATATGGAACTGAGGTCAATAATAGGGGATAGGAATAAAAAAGGCTATAACTATGGGAATCATTATCACAAAGGAGGTAGTTGAAGGAAATAGTTGAAACTGTAAAAATTGGTGTAGTCTTTAAGGAACAATGTCTTGAAGGAGAAAAACAGAGTCAAGGACTATACTTTGTGGGATAGGCATAGTTGAATGCTTAGAATGCAGAAAATGAATAAGAAAATGTTAAGAAAGTCAAGAGAAACCGAAATTGTACACAATGGAAACCATGATAGGAAAGAGGTTTAAGATGGAGAGATAATTAGGTAGCGCTGTCACTTGCAAAGAAAGCTCCTAGAGAATGAGGATAAAGTAAATACAGATTTAACTGTGAGAATGTATTTGATAACCTTTGAGAGTGAAGTTTTAGTAGAATAATAGGAAAGAAAATGGACTGCAGAAGAAAGAGTGGGGCTTCAAGACAGCTTTCTGGCGTATCACTTCTTAATTGTGGCTCGTTAATACCATCTACAAACCTCCCTCTAATTCTATATGATTTTAACATCTATATGGATAATCTCTTTGTCACATGGTCTTTCAGTGCAGAGATCTTTTTCTCCAGTGATCTTATTCTCTATTCTTTTGCATCTGTCTGCTTCTGTGGTCCATGTTATCAGATGAAATTGCTGCATCTACAAAATTGATTCAATCATCCTCTTTCTAAATGCCTGTTTCTATATTTCTAGCTTCCTTGTTTACTCCCACTGTAACTGTTAACTTTAGCCCTCTAGTCCAATAATCCCTTTATTTTATCCCTATACTTTAGCCTTTTATTCTCTCGTTTCCTTCCTATCCAGTTTAGGTTCTATGTTTCATCATTTTAATAACTCTTATCAATACTGCAAATTCTTTTGCTACTCTCTGATTTTTGTTGCTTCTTTCTGAAGCAACTCCAGCCCTGAATGAGCTCAAAAATATGCTTTCTCTTTGCTTATGCCTGCTGTGACAAGGAAAATCTCACAGGAGTACAGATTGGTACCGTTATAAGTTCATAATCACCTCCTGTCTCCCTGAGCCATCAACAGTACCTGACAAATCTAATATTTGCAGTGGTCACCTTACTCTTTCACAAAGACTGTTTCAAATCTTTGATTCTCCTCAAATCTCTATTTTTGCTCTTACTTTGAACAGGTGATACCATGTTCTTTCTCATAAAGAAAACAAAAACCATTAGATCAGAATTACTTCAACTTGAGACCAAAGCTGTAAGCTTACCTGCAAATGCACCTTACCTTTGCTCTAGTTCCAATAGAAGGAGATATTTCTCCAGCTTTAAGATTCAATCCCTCCACCTGTCTTCTGGTTTCTATTTCCTAACTCTTTCTCATTAATTATCGCTCATTCTCCTTTATTACCAGTGTCGTCTTCTTAACTGGCTCACATTAGTATTTACATATGTTCTGGTTCATCTAACCTTGAAAAAGAGAGATCCCTTCTTTGACCCCATTTCTTCTTCCAGCTATTTGCCAGTCTTTCTCTTCTTGTTAAAGTTCATGAAAGATTGGTCTTACTTGCTATCTTCATATCCATCCCTTAGTAACTTCTTTCCTCACTAAACTGCTCTTTTTAAAGCCATCAGCAACCCTCATTCAGTTATTTCCAGTGTGCATCTTTAGATCTTCATCCTACTTGGCCCCTCAGAAACTTTTGGTAGAATTGACTGATTTTCTTGAAACCCTCTCTTCCTTTGGCTTCCATTGCATCAGAAGCAATGATTTTCTTCCTACCACTCTTAAGAATAATGGAAAGCCACCGAAAGGTTTTAAGCAGTGTAGGACCAGTGTTAATGTGCTGAATGAATTGAAAGGGAGAGAATATGACTAAAGTAAAGAAGATCAATTATGAAGCTATTGTAGTAGTCTAAGCCAGAGATGTTTGCTTGGACTAGGTTGGTAACAATTGATTTGGAAAGAATTGAACAGATCAAAGGAAATTTAGGAGATAATATCAACAGGTTTTTCTGATGGATTGATTGTAAGGGGATAAGAAAGCAAGATTTACCTGTTCTGACTTAGGCTTCTAAAACAGATGAGATGCCATTTACCAAAGAAGAAAACCCTGGAAGGGAAAGAATTTGGGGCTTAGGGTGGGTAGAGAGCTTCTGGCCATGTTGAGTTTTAGGAATTTTTGAAAATCTAAATGGATAGGTCAGGAGGGAAGTTGGATATATAAGTCTGAATATCAAAGATGCAACCAATATAAATATTGAAATTGTTGTTACGTAAGTGATAGTTTAATTGAAATTACACATTTAAGATAAATCATGTGGGGAAAGAGTACAGAATAGGAAGAGAATACTTCTTTCTATGATTTGAAAGTTAATTTAAATAGGATGAGTTGGCAGAGAAGACTGAGGAACCACTGCAGAGATAGGAGAAGATCATATTTAGGAAGCCTTGGGAAGAGAATTTTTAAAGAAAACGAGGAAGTGTTTTCGTACTCATTCACTTATATCATTTATCTCACGTTATGATAATTGCCTGTTTACATATCGATATACCCAATATTTTAAGTTCTTTTAGGGATTGTGGGTTGATCTATCTTGGGGCCAGATAGTAAATATTTTAGGCTTATGATCTCTGCTCCAACTACTCATCTCTACTGTTATAGCATGAAAGCAGCCCTTTGAAATCATAAAAAATGAGTGTGACTGTGTATTAATAAACCTTTATATATAGGTACTAAAATTTGAATCTTAACAATTTTCATGCCATGAAATGTTATTCTTTTGATTTTCTTTTAATCATTTAAAATATAAAAACCATTCTTAGCCTATGGGCTGCACAAAAACAGAGAGGGAACCAGATAAGGCCCACAGACTATAGCTTCCTGAGTCTTTTCCTCTAATTGAGCCTGGTGCCTGAACTATTATAGACAGTCAGTAGATTTTTGTTTAATTAATTGTTGATTAAGTTCTTATCCAGTTCAGATATACCTTTTAAGGGTATAGGGAGGTAATGAAGGTGGGTTTTCCTCTTCAAGCTCTGAAAGCAAGAATTCATACTTTTCTTTGGGGCCATTCTTCTCTTTAGAGGTTAACTTTTCTCAAAAGTCAGTGTAGCGTTGTGACACACTATCAAGTGTCTGGAAGACTGTTTTAAATTTTTGTAAGGATATAATGATGTTATTTGGGTTGCAGAAAGGTAAAACTGAATTCCAGCACTTCCTAGGACGTATCAAATTTTTGGCATTGATTTTAATTAATATCTGAGAATTTTAAAAACTCACCTATATAGGTAGTAAAACATACCTTTATACTTTTGAGAATCCTAATTATTATTGTTATTTGTTGTCCTTGAATGTTTTCCTTCGTGTGATCTTAGTCATCCAAGACAATACTGTGTCTATAGGACATGGACTGTGCACTCACTGTTGCTAGAATTTAACATAAGAGGTAGTCTGTAGACAAACATACTAATAATATATGATGGCAACCTGTTATGTGTACCATGAAGGAAGTTAACAGGTGTAATATTATAGATTAATTGTGAAGGAAAGACAAGAGTAGTTAAGATGGTCAGAAAATGTACCTCTTGGAAAGCATGATTTATGCTAAGACTTGAACTATGAAGAGTTCAATGAGGGAAGAGTACATCGGTAGAATGATAGTATGTGTGATAACCCTGACTCCCACAGAGCTCAATATTTTCCAGGAACTGAAGGATTGTTTTAGATACAAGTAACTTAAGACATCTACGTTCAGTTGATCCCCAAATAATTGATTAAACATACAAAGATTAGTATATATTAGCTTTTTTAAAAATCAGACAATCTGTCCTAAGAAATAAGCATGGGGATCAAAACTGTTTAGTAAAAAAAAGAAATTACAGATTTCCAATCTGTTCTGCATTCATTGAAAACTAATTAGCTGAAATTATGGTGATATTGTATGTATGGATTGATAGGCAATAACATGATAAAAATAATTGCTATACCAAGGACTATATATTTAGTGCCAAACCTCAAATGTACTGAAATAATATCACAGAAGAAAATGATTCCTACATGAGTAACTCAGTTAAGTGTACTGTACAAAAATGTGGCAAACAAAGGTATCACCATAGGAGATGCCTTAAGCAAAAGAATGGCTGACAGTAGAATTTGCGAATCGTTAGTAGGAAGAAGACAGAACAGATTAGGGGGAGAAAAGAGTGAGGGGAAATAGAGTAAGAATAAGTGGAAGGGTAATGAGAATCTTGCTCAGTAAGAGTAAAGGAGGAGGGCAAGAGGAAATAATTCAAGGAAAAGGAGAAGGAAGAATGTAAATAGTTTAAGAGGAGCCTCTTCTAATAGCATAATTTTATACTGGGTAAAACCTTAGAAAAGTCTACTTTTAGTTTTAGGAATAAATGTGAATATCTCATACCCATTGCCTAATCATGTTAGATCATCTAAATCAAAGCTGAATGTATCTTTATCTCTTCTACTTCTTCAAAATCTTTGTTTTGCAGTATTTCACTTTGAAAACTCAAAATGAAAAATTATATACTTTTATTATATTTTAATATTCTAAAGTAATATTTGTTTTAAAAATAAAATGTATATACCATGTAGTATGTTGTATTTATTTACTCATAATGTTCTTTTAAGTGTTTCAGGCTGCATGTACCAAGTAGTTCAGACGATTGGCTTGGATGGAAAAAATCTTCTGCAATTACTTCCAATTCCTAATTCTTCTGGAAATCTTATACCACTAGTTCAATCTTCAGTCATGTCTGATGCTTTGAAAGGGAATAGAGGAAAACCAGTTCACGTTACTTTTCAGACTCAGATTTCCAGCTCTTCTACAAGTACATCAGTTCAATTGCCCATTTTTCAGCCAGCCAGTTCTTCAAACTATTTTCTTACAAGAACAGTAGATACAGCAGAAGAAGGTAAAGTTACTTCTTTGGGAACTCAAAATTTTACTTCAGCAGTTTCTAAAGTTCAAAGACGTGGTGTGAAAATCGATGGACTCACCATGCAAACATTTGCTGTTCCTTCCTCCTCAACACAAAATGATTCATCTTATATTGTAGTTAATACCCAGACTCTTCCAATGACTGTGAAGTCTCCAGTTTTTCCTTCTGATCATCATTTACAGATTCCAGCCCATGCTGAAGTGAAATCTGTACCAGCGTCGTCATTGCCTCCTTCAGTTCAGCAAAAGATACTTGCAACTGCAACCCCAAGTACCTCAGGAACAGTTGAGGCCTCCCACATACCAACCGTTATTTACGTATCTCCTGTAAATACAGTGAAAAATGTAGTTACAAAGAACTTACAAAACATTTATCCAAAACCTGTTAAAGAAATAGCAAAGCCAGTGATACTAAATACCACACAAATTCCAGTGAATATTGCTACAGAGAGACAATTAAAAGGTGGTCAACATTCTCAAGCTGCTCCAGTGAAATGGATTTTTCAAGAAAATCTACAGCCATCTCTTGTTCCTGTTAAGTCTTCAAATAATGTGGCTTCAAAAATTTTAAAAACTTTTGTAGATAGGAAAAGTTTGGGAGATAATACTGTAAATATGCCACCATTGAGTACCATCAGTCCTAGTGGGACACAATCTAAAAATATGCCTATTAAAGAGAATGCTTTGGTTATGTTTAATGGGAAAGTCTATCTATTGGCTAAAAAGGGGACAGATGTTCTGCCATCACAAATTGACCAACAGAATTCTATTTCTCCTGATATTCCACTAAGAAAAGACACGTTACAGATAGTCAGTTCAAGTCCAGTCACAGAAATATCCAGAAAGGTTGTAAATATTGTTTTGGCTAAAAGTAAATCTTCCCAGATGGAGACAAAATCACTTCCCAATACCCAGCTTGCTTTCATGGCCAATCTAAGGGCAGAGAAGAATAAAAAAGTTGAGAAACCATCTCCTTCTACCACAAATCCACATAATACGAATCAATCCAGTAACTACTTAAAACAGAGTAAGACTTTATTCACAAATCCAGTCTTTCCAGATGGATTTAGTACAGGACAAAATGCCCCCAGAAAAGAAAATATCATCCAGAGCATAGAGAAAATAAGTTCCTCTGTTGATGCAACAAATGTTACTTCACTGCAGTGGGTTTTCAGAGACCAAGAACCAAAGGTAATTTTCCCGTGTCAGGGTGTTCTTTTTATATATTTTTATAGAAAATTTTTCTTTCTTAGTTTCTCAAAATTATCTATGATACCTCTTCTCCCCCAACCCACCCTACTATACACATACTATACATATATGAATGCTTAATTAAGTCAAAGCTTTCATCAGAGTAAATATTTGAAGAGGAGTACAGTTGGGATAGTCCAAGCAGTATCTTTCTCTTGAATTACTTGGCACACTAAATCTTTAAAACAAAAACAAAAAGTCACAGAGCAACAAGGTTTAGAAGAGTTGGGGAAGAATAATGTGAATTCAAAGCTTAGTAAATTTGTGTTAGTATATATATAAATACATATGTACACATATATATGTGTATATATACTTAATAGCCTACTTTTTAGTATATGAGGAGATCAATACTGTGCATATAGGAGAGCTGAGTTTTAATGCTTTTTGGGGCGTGTGTATGTGTCTTGGGGAGATATTCGGAAGTTTTTTTAGGTAGACCATGGAAGAGGTGAGACAGGGCTAGTTAGTACCTTTCAGTAATTTGTAGAAATAGGATTTTATCAACGTCTTTGAATGGTGGAATTTTTTTGGTACACAATTTTCCTTTATTTTAGCTCTTCTTTCTGGCTTCTTGTCCAATTACCCAACATACCCACATAGTTACCTTTCCGTTCTCCTTAAAATATGTGTCTGTGTGCTTACTAAATATTTGTACCTACCTTTTCCTTGCTTATTTAGAGGTCTACTGAATAATGTCAGTATTTCTCCCCTCCAGTACAGAATTCATTGAACTATAGAGATACAAAGTAGTGAATTCTGAGTATTAAATATAAGATTTATTAATAAGACTTTTCCAGAAGACTACAATTTCTAAATAATGTCATATATGTTTTTAAGTTGTCATTAGTTTGCATTCTCATTTTAGGTGTTTGAGAATTGACTATTTGTTACCTTTCTAGAGCAACGAACTAAATGAGAAATTGTAGGGGAATATTTTAAGTTTGTACTTAGTTAAATTCAGTTTTCAAGTGTGGGTGGTAAGGCAAGGGTAATGCAAAACAACCATTTAGGATTTTAAAGCTTCATGTGTTCTTTTGGATAAGATGAGATAATCACTTAGTTGCTAGTTTGATAAAATAATTTGAGTAATTAGCAATATTGTTTGTTTTCTTTTCCTAATTCCAGATCCAGAATGAGATGGCATCAACATTAGAAAAAGATACTAAAGAAAGAAACAAGAAAGTTTTGCAAGGAAGAAATAATAAGACATCATATCTGAAGAGTGATGCTGAATTTAAAAAGATATTTGGTCTCACTAAAGATTTGAGAGTGTGTCTTAGTCGAATTCCTGACCGTTTTGGCTCTGGAGAAGGTTTTGATTCCTTTAGCAGTTTGGTGAAAAGCAGTACTTACAAAGATACAGAGTTTATGGTGAAGGCAGAAGAAAGAAAACAGGTAATAGATTTTAAAGTGTTGTTTGTAGGTACTACAAAGATATATGGATTTATTAATTTTCTTGATTTCATTTTTAGCATTGTACATTAGTATGAAAGATGATTGTTACCAAATTTATAAATATATACATTATACCAAAACAATGATAAAAAGAACCATATATGCACAGGTAAAAATGCATTCCTCGTTAATTAAAGATGTTATTTTAAGTATTTTTATTCAGCTACTGTTTATTTTTTCCATGATACTATTATAAGAAAATAGCCATAGCTTTTTAACTAGTTATCCTACTTTGAAGACTATCTAAAGGAAATAATCCAAGTATAGTGGGAAATATAAGCATTCAGATGTTCATTGCAGCAATACTCTTAATCCAAACATTTTAAGCAACCTATATGGTCAATAATGATGAAAAGAAATGTCCCTATAACTTTGCCTACTGTACTATTATTCTGCCTAGGAATATATCATCATTTAATAATTTTGAACTTCAGATCAGAGGCTAGTCAAATTTTTTCAAATATTACACATAAGCCTACTGTGCAAAGGAAGAGAAAAAATTAATCAATTGTATTTCTCAGGCACTTCACAAGTGCTATTATTTTTGGTGGTGGGTCAATATGGCTCATCATACTTGAGCAAGAAAATGAATTGGGCAATTTATCCTTAGTGGATATCACTAGGACATCGTTATTCATTTTGATACTATACAGTGGGAAATACTCCTTTCTTGCTGTAATTGTACCAATAAATTGTGCAGATTTATGTATAATTGCTAAATATTTGTTTCTGCAAACTTTGTTAAATTTGACAGCACGAGATAGATACATATACATATATGTATAGGAATAACATTTTGTTTTTCTTTTGGAATCTTATTTCACATTGCAACAGAGTCTTGATAAGAAAAGAAAAGCAAAAACCATTAAGAAGATGGATCACACAAAGAAGAGAAAAACTGAGAGTGCTTATGACACAGTCATAAATGGGGGAACTAATGTCACCAGTTCCCAACTCCTTAACAGTATTTTACCAGCTTCAGATGTATCACAACATAACATTCACACAAGCCTCAGCAAGAGCAGAGAAGAAAAGAAGACTGAGATAGAATACTATATCCATGAGAAGCAAGAGAAAGGCTCATTGAGTTCAAATGCAGCTCATGAACAAAGTCATTCCTTTAATAAAAATTATGCTGAAGATATTTTCCCTGTGACACCACCAGAGTTAGAAGAAACCATTCGAGATGAAAAAATAAGAAGACTTAAGCAGGTGCTAAGAGAGAAAGAAGCAGCTCTTGAAGAAATGCGTAAGAAGATGCACCAAAAATAATAAAATCTCCTACACTTAAAAGACTTCAATGAAATGGCTCTGTTTTTTAACATATACTTTTGTATTAATAAGTTAATTGTAGATGTATTCTGAAAGTGTCTTAGAATATAAAACTTGCTTTTTCATCAGTTGATTATAAAATTTTATTTAAAGAACACAAGGTTGATTCACATATGACTTATGAATAATCTGGGTGGGGGTATCTAAACCTTTGTCTTAGATACCTATTTTTGGAAGGAAAAATTTTATATTTTTCTATTTTAACTTGAATTCTCCAAGTTTGAATATTTGTGTAGGGTTTTTGTTATTGTTTGTATCTTTAGCTAAATTGCTCAGGTGTTACTCCTACAATAGATAATTATTGTGTATTATTGAAATTCTGCAGTCCAAGAGAAATATCAGCTCCAAACTTAGCTTTACCAGTGGGTTTATATATGTATGTACTTGCTTGGTCTCTTTATCCATAAAGTGATGATATCTTCTACTTACCATTTTGTTATTATTTTTGTTTGTTTCATGAAGGAAAATGTATTATGGTAGCATTATTTACTATTCAAACATTTCTCAAGAGTGAGGGACACTTGTAACTTTGCAAAGTAATTTTGTATAATTCAAAACGTGTTTTGCATTTCAGGTTATTTGATACATTGTTTGCTTAAAGTGATGTTTTATTATTCCTAGGCAAATGCTGCTTTTGGTAGCGGGGGGAATATGTACATATGTTACTTGCATTGTGTGAAAAGTAGATCTGAACAGTGGTCTCATTTAATACTTTTTACATTTTCAAATGTGGTTTTTCTATGTGGTTAATCTTTGATTTGGGAGAGTTTGGGAGTGGTGTGGAGGTAGAGATTAAAAGAGGGGAGAAGGATACGGTGATAAAAAAAATGATTAATAAATCCCTGGAAGTAAGAGAGGTTAAAAGAAAAAACCTGTACAGTAGCAACAAAAGAGAAAACAATAAATCAGAAAGTACTGAGAGGGAATGAAACAAATGCAAATTTCAACTAGATTCTGTTGGGTTTTTTTAGTAACAGCTTTATTAAAATGTAATTCATATACCATAAAATTCAACCTTTTAAAGTGTACAATTCACTGGTTTTTATTACATTCACAGAGTTGTACAACCATCAACACTCTTACTTTAGAACATTTTCAACACCCCCAAACCAAACCTCATTCCCATTAGCACTCCCTGTCCCCTCGCCCTCCGCCCTAGGCAACCACTAATACACTTTCTGTCCCTATGGAATTGCCTGTTGTGAACATGTCATATACTGAAATCACACAATATACTTTCTTTTGTGATTGGTTTCTTTCACTTAGCCTCATATTTTCAAGGTTTGTCCATGTAGCATGTATCGGTACTTCGTTATTTATTGCTTAATATTCTGTTGTATGGATATACCACATTCTGTTTATCCGTTCATCTATTATGGACATTTGAGTTGTTTCCACTTCGCGTTGCTATAAGTAATGTTGCTATGTATGTTTGTCCACAAGTTTTTGTATGGATATATGTTTTCAGTTCTCTTGGGAATATATCTAGAAGTGTAAGTGCTGGGTCATATGATAACTCTATGTTTAATATTTTGAGGAACTGACAAATTTTCAGGTTTTTCTCCCCCTAGTCCACTAAAACAAATCTTGTCAAGGTCACCAGTAACTTCCGTGTTGCTAGAGTCAATGGTCAATTGTCAGTTGTCTTAATTTATCAGCAAAATGTGATTTCATGAATCATTACTTCCTTTGAAAAATGTTTAAAATATTTTATAATAGAAGGAGTGTATGTGTATTGTAGAAACTTAGAAAACACAGCAAGCTAAAATACTGAAAATTAACACTTCATACTCCCATCATCCAGAGTTTACCACTGTTAACACCTTGGTATATATCCTTTCTGATCATTCTCTGTGCCCCGTATGTACGTATATGTTTTTACCAAAATAAGGTCCTTATACTATTCTGATTCCTGCTTTTGAAGTCAATCTGCAGCTGTTCCTTTCAATAAGTGTTCATGTCTTCTAATACTCTAGCCAAATTTACCAAGTGGACCCCAGAATATTTTTTATCACTGGCTCTTCCAAAGCAGTATTAAATTTCAGACTATGCAT